ATAATATCAACCAAACATTCTCATCAATATTATTCATATAAGTAAATGATATCAACCAATCATTCTCATATTACATGAGTTTAATTCATTATTCATCCACTCACATAATATTAACTAACTATAATTTCACATTATCTATCTCCTACTTTTGGCAAAAAAGGTTTTTTCGTCCCTCAAGTGACCCCTGTTTCAGTTTGGTCCCGCAAATGGTCTGTTTTTGGAAATAGTCATTTAACTGAAAAAAAAAAATAAATTATTTTTTGGTCCTCTGACCTGCTATAGCAAGTCAGATTTACCGGTTGCGCTTAAGTGTAATTTTATTTTGTTTTTTCTTATTTTTTTGCTGACGTGGCAGTCTATGTGTAATTTAAAAAAAAAAAATTCTTAAGTTTTTTTATCACGTGGCAGCCTATATAATTATAAATAATTTAATGGTTGACATGGCAGTCTACGTGTAATATCAATTTTTTTTATGTTGATGTGGCAGGTTTATTTAAAATAAAAAATAAAAAATGCAACAGAGGCCGTTCGATCCCTGCACCTCCAAGACAAAAACATGTTTGTTGGCCACTTGATCTACAACAAATTTTGTATATTACTTAGCTTCAAATATATAGTTCTATCCAAAAAATGTTTTAATATATTTTGATCTACAACATTTTGATTAGTCCTTAAAAAATGTTTTAATATATTTATTTATTTGGTAAATGTTTAATTTATTATATTATTTAACATATATATTTATTATATTATTTAATATATTTATTTATTTGGTGAATATATAATTTATTATATTATTTGATATATTATTTATATATTTTTTGGTAAATGTTTATGTAATATAAAAATAAAACTTATTATATTATTTATTTTATATTTTTTTATTTTGTAAATATGTGCTATTACAACTCAGCCAAAATAAAAATAAAAAAATAAACGAATTTCCACGAGTAGGCAGTCAGAGGACCAAAAAACGAATTTATTTTCACTTAATGGACTATTTCCAAAAACGGTCCATTTACGGGACCAAACTGAAAAGGGGCTTCAGTTAAAGGACGAAAAAACTTTTTTTGCCTCTACTTTTACATCAAATCAACTTTAATTTTTTTTATTTTAAATATTATTTTAATATACACTCAAACTTCTAAGGGCGAGGGTCAACGACGACTCTTGTCGTGCCCCGCCATCCCTTCGACCAAGTTCAGTGTTGCCGTTTTGTTATTCTGCCTCATGTCTTGTGTCGATCGGAGGTTGACCACTTGGCCTCTCGTTCGTTGGCTTCTTTCAGGTAGGCGGTTCCTGATCGGCCTTCACAGCCAATCGATCCCCCCTTAGAACTCGAGTTTGGGTTCTTTCAGCGTAGCTCTTCGAGCCCGACCTCTTAAGCAATATTCTTCCCCCGATTGAAGACTTTGGGAGCTCATATCTGGACTAAAGATCGTTCTATCCGGTTTTTTCAGTTGGAGTTTTGAGTTCTGAGATCGATTTTTGTAGTTTCTTTGGTTTTGTTCGTGCCGTTGGTTTGTAGTGGTTTTGGCTTGTGTGTTGGGCTGCGTGTTTGTTGCAGGTTGCCCGCGTATGATAGGGAAAGTAGTAGTCTATAGCTAACTTAGGTGTGAGTTTTATTAGTTAGTGTGTTATTCTTCAGTGAATGGATATTCTTCACTTGTTGGAGTAGATAATCTCCACTAAAGGGAGCATCTAGTTTTGTGTGTGGATTTAGGCCTCCAGTATACCTGTTTCAGTGAACCTCGTCGAATGCTTGGATCCATCTTTCTTGTATTTTAGTTTTAGTTTCTTATGCTTCTTTGTGTTTCTCTTTGAGTCCACCTTTTGGTGGATTTGAAAGTCTTAACGGCTTGTTTGTTTATGGATTAATTTAGTCATTTTTATTTCAACTCAAAATTTAACTCAACTTTAACTCAACTCCACTATCTTTAATATTATTTACATAATTAAATAATATAAACTCAATCATTCTTACATATCACATCAACTTTAATTCACTATTTATCCACTTACATATTTTTAACTATCTATCATTTCCAATCAATTATCTCTTACTTTTACATCAAATCAATGTTAATCATTTTA